AGCCCCCAGGGAATGGCTGGAGCTGTGTCAGGGCAGGCTCAGGGTGGATCTCAGCAAAAGGTTCTTCCCCCACAGGCTGGTTGGGCACTGAACAGGCTCCCCAGGGCAGTGGGCACAGCCCCAAGGCTGCCAGAGCTGCAGGAGGCTTTGGATGATCCTCTGGGGCACAGGGGGTGACTCTTGGGGATGGGCCTGTGCAGGGCTGAGGGTTGGACTGGATGATCCTTGTGGGTCCCTTCCAGCTCAGCACATTCTGTGATTCTGTGATGGATCTTGTCAGCAAGCAGTGAGGATGAAATGTTGATTAAATCTATGCTCTTAATTAAATTGCATGAAAGTGAAACATCTGGACCCGATTTGTTCAATGCTATTCATGAAATGATGATCTGTTCATGCAGACAACTCATGAAAGCCCAGACAAACGAAAGATTCTCCCAGAAAAAGTAGGGATTCCAATCAGATCTCCTCTTTCCACGCTTGAGGCACTGAGGACCAAGGGATTCCCAGCTCCATGACAACACACAGATCGAAGTCAATTCATTTTGCTCACAGCCCATCTCAGTTTCACACTAAACTGAACAAGCATTAGATCCCACTCCATTCCCTGTCTGTGTGTTTGGGATGAAGTTCCTGCCTATGCAATAGTCCAGAACAAGGTCAACAAAAGACTTAAATACCACATAAGCTCCATTTAAAACCTGCTGATTCTCGGCACATTTCACCCCCCTCTGAATTTTAGCATCAATCCCTTGCAATTCATTTGCCTGCCTAAATACATCTGAGCTCTACTGTGAATAATTACTCAAACTATTAGAAAAATTGAATCAATCTGTGCCTCTCCATAAACTCTGTGTGTCTGCGTGAGCAGCAGATTTATTCCCTCAGCCCTTTGCCACTTAGAGCATATCTCTGCAAGTGCTTAGTTCATTTACTGCAGAGCCAAAGCTGAATTCCTGGCACCCAAAAGCAGCTGAACCCTGTCCCAGGACAACACTCTCTATTTCTTCATCTTGTGTGTCATTCCAGCTCGCTGCCAGGCCCTCTGCACGCAGGGGTGAACCCCCCAGACTTTACATCAGGGGAGAGCACTCAGGCAAGCACTGACACATCTTTGAAAGCATGCATAAACTTAACGGGCTGTGCAGAGGTGCTGGGCTGAATTCATTTGCAGGGTGATCTCTGTACCCTGATATAATGTTTAATTAGGCTGGGCTGGCTTTCCCCCGCCGGGTATTTGGCAGAGGGTGGTTCTCCCTTTATGGTGAGCGGAGAGGAACAACCCCTTGGAGGTGATTTTGGGATGGATGTGCCAGGGAGAGGCACCGTGCCTCCCAGGGACCCCCCAGTGCCACCCAGCCTGCGCTCACGTGGCATCGATCCGCTCCACCCCTTTGTAGTAGTGGATGCCCCTGGAGGTGTTCTTCAGCTGGTAGCACTTGTTGTCGATGTGATGGCCCATCTGCTTGTCTGCCAGGTCCTTCTCCAGCTCTTGCCGGGCCTCCTTGTTGCACCTGCAGCACACAGACAGCAGACCTCGGAGGGGGTGTAGGGGTGGAAAGGTTTCCTGCCCATCCCAGCTCCTGCTGGGGTAGCTGTGTGTGCATCCCTCCCACTTCCCATGGGGCCTGCACGGCTTTTACACCTGCAGGGGGTGGGTGGAGCAGGGCCCTGCTGGGGGTTTCCATTTAAATGCTGCACAATATGAGGAGCCCTTCCTTACATGAGCTGGTTATTCACTGTGTTCAGGCACTGCTGGAGCCTCTCCCGGACGGACCTGATGATCTTGATTTCCTGGGCAAAGGTAAAGCACAACTCCATCGGTATCCATGGCCTGGACACACTCAGCCCCTCGAGCCTCTCCAGCCTTGCACTCAGTGAGAACCTCCCTGCTTGCCTTTCCCCCAGAGCAATCAGGGGGTGCAGAAAGGGCCCCCAGCCCCAGGGCACGTGTTTGTGCAGCTGAGCCCACACCAGTGACAGGAGGGGACAGAAGGGGGCTGTGCCCACTGCCACGGCCTCTGAAATCACTTCAGGATGGGCTCCCAAGTGTTTTTTTCATCTTGACATCCACGTGAAGGGCTGGTTAGTCCCACTGCAGGGGGATGAGCCCCCATCCTGACCTGATGTGAACAGGCACAGTGGTTCCCTGGATCAGCAGGGCTGCACATCCCCATCCCCAATCCCAACGTATCTTCCTCCCCACAAGAGATCCCATCCACAGGGGACAAGAGGAGATGGATTTTGATGCAAATCCCCAGTCCTTTCTAAAAAACACTCGGCCCTACCAGGGGAAGGCTTGTGTTGCTCTCAGCTCACCTGACTCCAGCACAAACCTATTGCACCTCTGAAGTCCCAGCTTCCAGAGGCAGGTGATCAGTGCTCCAAACTCAGGAATTTTTAAGCCCTCCTATCTGCAGGAGCCAGCTGAAATCAGAGCCTAAATATGTCCCAGCACTTAAAAACCAAAATGTCTTTATGGAGATACCAGCTCTGATAACTTTCCTAAAATCTCATGACTTTTAAACTAAGATTTTAATGTTTTAGGGCCTGACTCATAAGGAAAAATCTTCCAACAGAACTATGGCACCACAGTCCTAAGGGCTGCAATTTCCTTCTCAGTTTTGTGATGCCTTTGCAGTGATTCTGTTTTGCTGTTCCCTGCATTAGGATCCCCTCTGCTGTGCCAGCTTTCACTGTGCTGGATTTTATTCATAGTTTAAAGCAGACTGTATAAAGGCAGGCAGGAGTGCATGTTTTTGCAATTTCTCTCAAATCCATTGCCTGAGCACACAGAGCAACAGCCCTACTGCAGCCACACTGCTCTGAGCAAAGCAAAGCTGGGGGGAGGTGTAAAATCTTTTATTAGACCAGCTAATATAGCTGGGAAAACCAGACAGGCTGCTGGGCACCCGCTGCCTTCTGCATATCTGTGTATGCATCTGTGTGCAATATAGATAATGTTCTATAGATACAGAGATATATCATACAGATAGACACTGCTCCTGTGCTGGCAGGGCTCAGAGAGGCAGGGCTGTCTCCCAAACTCCTTGGAGAAGGACAGAGGACCCCAATGTGTCACACAAACACAGCTGGTTTTCAGCTACTCCTCCCTCTCTTGTCTTCGTCTCAGCAGGTTTGGGGGGGGGGGGGTTGAAGAGTTTAGCACCTCACCAGCACGAGGGAGCCAGGGAGGGAACAGGGCTGCGAAACCTGTTTAGGGTATTTTAGGTAAAAATAACTCTAACACACGATCTGTGTTGCCAGACTTACTGTGATGAGCTGTTTCTCCACGTCGTCATGGACTAGGTCGATGCCCATCCTCTTCTCCCGGTTAAGCAAGCACTTGTGAGCGACCTGTTGGGGACATGCCGTGCCATCAGTGCTGGCTGCAGGGGCAGGGTTCCCCACAGGGGTGGTGTCCGTGTCAGGTAATGTAAGAAAAGGTGTTACAGGTGGGCACAGAGAGGACAGCATGGGAAAAACCGCCCTGGTTTAGTTGACAACAAGCAGCCAAGTGCAACATCAGCATTAAATGGGTGTGAGGGAGCCCACGTGTCCCTGGTGCCACCACAGCTGAATGCAGGGACCTGCGTCAGGCTCGATGCTGACCTCGTGGGCTTTTATCTCCCAAACCAGGATTTTGGAGATAAAAATACTTGGTTAAACAAACCCTGTCGTGATGTGCTCAGCGTGCGGTGGGGTGGGGGGGAACACAGCAGATGTCAGGGGATTTGTTTATTCCTAACAGAACTAATGGGCTCCTAATAAAAACTTTCTAGATGTTACAGAGCCAGTAATGAAACTTTATTAGACGGTTGAATGGCTGCAGATGGTTTGGCAGGAGGCCACGGGGGCCGGGTCCTTACCTGGAAGGGGCCCTCGGTGTCAGCCAGGGCTCTCTCCAGCCGCTTCTGCATGTCTGCCAGCGAGTTGGTCTCCCTGATCATGGCATCCAGCTCGAGGCAGAGCTCCGACTTCCAGTACTCTATGTCGTTGACCCGCTCCCCCAGGTTCTTGGTGCTCTCCCCCTGGGTCCTCTTGGCCTGCAGGTACACGTCCTTGATGGTGCGGTTGAGGTCGGCCCGCAGCCGCTCCGCGTTGTGCCGCGTGGTCTCCGACTCCTTGTAGTTGGTCATGTTGGACCTGTGCCAGTCGTCGAGGGTGTGGCGGGTGAAGACGCCGTTGGGCCTCTCGGAAATGAAGGGAATTATCTTGGTGGGGGGTAACCCCGGGAAGCTTTCAGAGAGGGGGGCCAGGGTCGGGTTGAGGGCAGCGGCTTTGTAGTAGGAGTTGGGCATCCAGGGGAGGCTGATGCTCTCCGGCTGGTAAGGAATCCGGTTCTTGTAGCTGGCGGCCACGGTGCTGGTGGCAGGCAGGATCTTGGTGGGCGGTGGCTTTGGGTAGGTAAACTTTGCCTTTAAGGGGTAGCCGTAGAGGTCCATTGTGGGATGCTGCTGTTGGGTGCGTGTCCTGCAGAGGAAAACTTCGCTCAGTCAGTTCCTGCCCGTGTCCCACCTCTCACAGCAACACACACAGCTTGTGATACCCAAGCCAGAGATGCCCCAGGTACCCACAAGGTGCCTGTACAGGCCTAAATCTCTCAAAAACAAACCCCTCCTGACAGCAGCCCAAGTGTCTGGATAGACGGGGGTTGGACTTTGCTGGTGGCAGGTCTTGAAATGAGGAGAGAAACAAATCACGGCTGCCAAGGAGGATGGCAGATCTTATACCTTCATTTTCCTTATTCCTTTAGTCCTTATTCCTTATTGCCTATTATTCCTTCATTTTCCTTGTCAATCTAGAGAAGTTCTTCTGTGGCAGGGACACGTTCTTCCCCTAAATTGCTTAAATTTAGCCAAAAAACCTTTCACAAACACAACCCTCTGAGCCAATTTGGCAGGACCAAGGATGAGATGTCTGTGCTCAGGTCCAACAAAACCCACCATGTGGGGGTTCCCACAAACCCACTGTGTGGAGGTTCCCACAAACCAGTCACTGCTAGGGATAAGCCACTGCCATTCCATAGCTCCAAGCCACTTATTTGTTGTTACTTATCATCAGTTTTATTATTTATCATCCATTTTATTATTATAAATTTATACCTGGGAAACAGCATCAAGAGAGTGGGAGGTGGTTCCCCTGCAAAGAAATCCTTCCCTTTCAGACACTGACAGACAAGCATTTAAGAGAGGAAAAAAACTCCTTGGGAATGGCCTGGAGTTACTTTTCCATGCATTTCCAGCTGAATTAAATGGCCCTGCATCCCCCTCAGGATAAGCCATGCCAGGGTGGTGCTCTCTACCCTCCCTGAACAAGGACACACACCAGGAGCTGCTGACCTCCTAGTTTGGGTACAATTAGATGATAGAAGAGATACTGGGGGCTGAGGAGAAGTACCTGCTTTGCTGGTCCTGCCCTCCCAGTGGAAGCACACTCTCCCCTTTTGCTGTGAGCGTGGGTGTGCTCAGGGGTGTGGGGCTGTGGGGGTGCTGCTCCTCATCGCTGCAGTGCTGCACGTGGTGGTGGCACTGCCTGGCTCTGCCCCAGCCCCAGTGCGTTGGCACCACAGGGCCAGGGCACTGTTGCTATGGGCAGTGGGGTTCTGCAGTGGGTGACCGGGTTCTATGGTGGCTCAGGGGGTTCTGTGACCTGTGACTGGGCTCTGTGACCTGTTCTGACCATTGAAGCTCCCTGTGATGGCCACAGCAGTGGCCACAGGGCAGCACAGGGCCAGTAAACTCCCTCACATGGCATCCCAGATCCTGCCCTGGGCACCCTCCTGCTGTTGCTGGGCAGCTTTGTGCAGCCCCTGGGCAACCAGGTGCAGCTGTTGGGTGATGATGGATTGTGATCTTGGCCACCTGATTTAGTTGTAGGTAGCCCTGCGAGGTGCTGGACTTGCTGATCCCTGTGGGTCTCTTCCAACCTGGGATATTCCATGGTCCTATGAGCTCAGTGCCCGCAGCGGGCAACCCAGTGCCACCCCAGGACACCAAGTGCCAGCTGAGTGTTCAAGGCCAGGCTGGACGGGGCTTGGAGCAACCTGGGCTAGTGGAAGGTGTCCCTGCCCATGGCTTTAGATGAGCTTTAAGGACCCTTCTAACACAAACAATTCCAGGATTCTAGGAACTCCGTGCAACCCAGTGCCACCCCTGGGCAGCTGGATCCCACTCGTGGGCAGCCCTCAGTGCCACTCCTGGGCAACCCAGTGTGAGTGCTGGGTCTCCTGGGCCAGACAAAGGCTTCCCTGGGGTAGGGGGTTAGAGGTGTACCCAGGAGCTCCACCCCAGCACAGCCTCCCCAGCACCAGGGTGTCGTACACCAGTCCCCCAGTGACACTGGGAATGTTTCTGGGAGCGGGTCCTTCTCCAGTTGTCTCCAGTTTTAGCCTGAGGACAGGCACTGAGACAGGGGTGGTGAGCACAGACACTCTGCTTACCCCAAGGGGGTTTCTCACAGCTTTTGAAAAAACCAGTCAGTTCTGCTGGGTGGACTCATGTGTCCCTCCTTATCCAGGGGAATATTTTCATTTTCCTCGTTCAGCACCCTGGCTGAGCTGACAGCCATGTTCAGGGCTCAGCAGCTGCCAGGCTGGTAACTGTGCCCTCTGCCAGCTGCCTCAGTTTCTCCTCATTCTCCCAGTACTGCAGCTGCAGACTGAGACTGAACCAAAGTGTTTCCCAGGCTCTGGTGGGTGCAGTGACCCCCAACCCACCCCTCCTGCTGTCCGTGCACACACACACTCAGCCTCCACCAGGAAGCAAAGCCTCTTGCCAGAGAGTTGACATGAAATATAACCCAAACTATTCCATGGATACACTTCAGCACATTTTCATTTCACTTTAAACACACGTCTTGCTCTGGCCAGGAGGAGTATCAGCTTCATCAAACTGAAATAAAACATTTAGCATGTAAGGTGTTTTTTCTATAGCTAAACCAGATCAAATAATGTCAGTTAAAGCAAGCCAAGCTCTGACCCTGTGCAGGACTCGTGCCCACCCTCAGACCAGCCCAGCTCTCTGCCCCTTGCTCACTCCCAGCCTCCCTCTCCCCTCTCACACCCTGCCCGTGGCTAATTCTGCTCAGATGAATCACTGCAGACAAGGAACACCACTAATTGTGGTAGGACACCACATGGGTTTTGAAGTATTTGCTAAATTAAGCAAGAATAATTGGCTAATATTGTAAATGGCCCACGGGTGCTCTGGGGAAGCACGAGAGCAGGGATGTCGTGATGGGAGAGGCTTTGGGCCCACCATAGAAGCACAGGACATCCTGAGCTGGAAAGGATCATCCAGTCCATCTCCTGGCCCCAACAATCCCAATCTGTCGCTGAGAGCGTCGTCCAAAGCCTCCTGCAGCTCTTGCAGCCTTGGGGCTGTGCCCACTGCCCTGGGGAGCCTGTTCAGTGCCCAACCAGCCTGTGGGGGAAGAACCTTTTCCTAATATCCAGCTTAAACCCTGCCTCAACCTGCCTAAAAGATACAAAGATGAGGAGAATTGGCACAAGTGAAACAGCCAAATTCACAAGTAAGGTGACTCTCAAGTGAGAAGCTGCCAAGGGCACAACAGTACGTGGTCCCAAATCCCTCGTGCTCTGGGTACCACACTGAATTAAACAGGCTGTTCACACCACCACCATTTATTCGACTAAATAAACCTGGTCCCTTCATTCTGCCTACAACTCCAAGAGCTGCAAAATCACTACAATTACAAGAGGTCCACACCCAGTTCTGGTGGGGGCACGTCCAGTTTTGATGGACACATGAGAACAGCTCGTGCTGAAGCCTCGACCGTTTTAGCTCAGAGTTACAAAAACAGGCTGGACACATGAGGCTGATGTGAAGCAGAGGTGCCAATTCCCAGCACCTCAGCCCAGGTTTGCCTGGCTGACCAGACTGGAATTTCAAGGGACACATTTAGATACCTCAGTACAAAATGCACTGCCCAAAGCTGTCAGTCTTTCTGTCACAGCTCTGCATTCTTGCTGTCTATTAATACAGCATTACACTGGATCCTGAGCTGCCCTTCTGCAAATACTCAGGTCCAGATCTTTTATAGCATCCCTCACGAGGCTGCTTGCACCCATAACATTGCCCAGTCACAGTTTTACACACAGTTGAATATTCCTGTCTCTCCTGTAAATGCTGCACCTGCCTGAAAGGGGCTCAGTTGTCAATTCAGAATCACAGAATAGTTTGGGTTGAAAGTGACATTAAAGATCATCTCATTCCACCCCTGCCATGGGCAGGGACACCTTCCACTAGCCCAGGTTGCTCCAAGCCCTGTCCAACCTGGCCTTGGACACTTCCAGGGATGGGGCAGCCGCAGTTTCTCTGCCCAACCTGTGCCAGGGCCTGCCCACCCTCACAGGGACAAATTTCTTCCTAATATCTCATCTAACCCTACTCTGTGTCAGTGGAAAGCCATTCCCTCTTGTCCTGTCCCTCCATCCCTGGTCCAAAATCCCTCTCCAGCTCCCTTTGAAACCCCTCTAAGGTACTGAAAGGGGCTTTAAGGTCTCCCTGCAGCCTTCTCTTCTCCAGGCTGAACAATCCCAATTTTCTCTCAGCCTTTCCTTGTAACAGAAGTTTTCCAGCCCTCTATTCAACTGCAGAATAATTTCCCCAAGTCACATTACCTCACTGAGATTAAAAAAAACCCTGAAGTGTTTTTGGAGATCACCTGGGGCTCTTCTTTCTTCTTCCAACAGCCCCTGGAAGAGCTTGTGTCCTTTTCCCATGGTTGGAGAAGCTCAGCTGTTCAGGACAACTCCTCCACAGCCCTGTGCAACATCTGGAAGTGCCACCATCCTGCTGGTTGCATTTTTTGGAAAATCCAGCCTCCCAGTCTGCTGGCAGGCACCTCTCCATGCTCTGCAGGTGACAGCTGAGTCCCTGCAGGGCAAATCTCCACGTATAAACAAGGGGCAATGCCAAATTCAAATGGGTGGTTAATTCCAGCTCATTTGAGTCACTTTCTTGGCACCCTTAAATGTCTCCAAAAGCACCATCCATCAGAAGGGTGCCCTGGAAGGACCTGACTCCTCTGCCTTGCTCTGGTTCGAGGTGGGGTGATCTCTGCAGGGCTGACCCAGGAGCTATTCCTGGAAAAACTGTGAAAAAATGGGTGTTGGGAAACCTTTCCTTTCTCTGGGGTGGGTGTAGCTGTGTGTGTGTGTGTCCTGCTGCCTGAAAGAGGTGTGAGCAATAATCCAAATGTTCCACACAAAGCTATGACAGTCACCTTCAGGAATAATTCCTTATGTGTGTATTTCGTGTGCATTGTGTTTGGCCCGTGGGACACGTGAGGAATGGGAGTCACCTCACTGAATTTCACACCTGGCAACCTCAATAATTGTCCTTAACAATCAGTAGGAAGGAACAGGCCTCTCCAGGGGTCGTTATCTGAGCTGTCCTGGATGATTCTTTTAGGATTAGGCAAATGGTGAGAGGGAAGGTGCAGTTCTCCCATGTCCTATAACAGATGCACCCAGACTTGGGCCTGTGACTGACCCAGCAGAGATGAGCCCTCTGTGAAAATTTTGTCCCTTTTTGGAGAAAAAGCTTCCTCAAAAACATCCTGAGTTGTTCCTTCAACGAGGCCAGACCTACTAAAAATCTACCCTTGAAGTTTTTGGTTTCCAGAGGTATTAAACCTCTAGACTAAGCAGCCTTAGGAGACCTAAAGCCCCTTCCAGTGCATAAAGGGGCTCCAGGAGAGCTGGAGAGGGACTTTGGACAAGGGATGGAGGGACAGGACAAGGGGAATGGCTTCCCACTGACACAGGGCAGGAGTAGATGGGATATTGGGAAGGAATTCTTCCCTGTGAGGCCCTGGCACAGGTTGCCCAGGGAAGCTGTGGCTGCCCTTGGATCCCTGGAAGTGTCCAAGGTCAGGTTGGACGGGGCTTGGAGCAACCTGGGCTAGTGAAAGGTGTCCCTGCCCACGGCAGGGAGATAGAATAAGGTGAACTTTAAGGTCCCTTCCAGCCCAAGCCATTCTGTGATTCTCTGAGATTGTTTTCACCTCTAAACACGAGGCTTTTAACACAGAGAGAAACCAATAAAGAGATCAAAAGTAGGCTGGCAGATGAATTATTCAGTCTAACCATAGCAGCATTTGATTGAGCTTTCCAAACAATAAATGTGGCATGAATAAATCCCTCCAAATCCCTCCCTGAGCTCCAGTGATGAGTCACAACCACCAAACCCCAGGTGCTCGTCCCCAGGGTTGAGGCACCGATCACTCATGTCATTACAGCAGTTGTGATCTCAGAAAATGTCTGGAGGAGACAGTTCTAGGCACGTCCCCTGATTCACAGACGTAAAAAAAGGGTCTAGACATCAGCAGGAGAGAAGATGAACATGTGTCCAGAGCAGAGGATGAGGAGCACCACACATCTCTGCATCCCTGGGATCTGATGGAGTTTTGGCCTTCCAGCCAAGCTCACACAAGGTCACCTTTTGAGGTCACCTCCTTGTCACACAGGAAAGGCTTCATGAAACCATCCCAGGTAGCTTTCCTTTAGATATCCCACCTTGCTGCAGCCCTCCATTACCAAACCTTTCAACCACCCCAGGAGTTCCCTT